TAATGTGGATCCATCCCAGGAATTTTACTTATCTTCTCATTTAAGACTGTCTTCCATTTCTAGTGGAGTAAAGCCAGTTCCATTCCAAGTTTCTGGGTTTATTTGATGTTAAATTCAAGGCCAGCCTGGGCAAATTAGCAAGACCTTGTATAGAATTTTAAAAAGTAAAAAGGGCTGCAGTTGTAGCTTGGTGTTTTCTAAGTTCATTCCCTACTACTGGCGGGGACGGGGGGGGGGTGGCGGCAGCAAAAACTTCTTAAATTTAAGTTAGGTAAACTCTATTCATCCAAACATTTTAAGAAAGTAAACTCAGAAATGACCATAGTTTTTAAATTCTTAAAAGTTAACATGCCTGAACATTGTACACTGAAGTGTCACTGAATAATTAAGCATTCAGAAACACACACAGGTCATGTAGTTAGTCTGAATGTCACTGGCTAGTGTGAGCATGAGTGAATTAGGAAGCATGGTTTTTATGTGATGACTGGAGCAATGAGGAAGCAATGCCTAGCTGAACCTTTGGGAGAATATATGATTTTAAGTGCAGAAGGTCCTCATTCTGTATAGATGATTGTTATCCAAAAAAGGACTTTGGGATATTTTTAAATTTAAGAGTTAATATTTATTAGTAGATAATAGAAATAAAGCTTTGATTGGGGCTATATCTTGAAAAATGAAACTGAAAATTATAGTTTTTATTTTATTTATTTTTTGGAGACATGGTCTTGCTCTGACATTCAGGTGGGCCTTAAATTCCCTGTGAAGCCCAGACTGACCTCAGACTTGCAGCGATCCTCCTACCTCACCCTCCCAAGTGCTGAGATTACACCCATGCCCCACCACACCTGGAAGTTTTAAAAAAATTTAACAAATTAAATTGTGATCATAGTCCTTGTACTGATTTTTGAGAATAAACACAGTGAATCTTGTGAGGGCAGCATTGGTACATTTTCTGCAGAATTATCTGAAACTATGATGTAGTTTCTTCATCAAGAATGATTTTTCAAGTGAGAGAATTCTCACTTTTCCTCAGCATTATCTCTTAATCCTTTGATCATTTTCTGTTGTCACTCCCATGTTTATTTCTTCTTTAATCCCTAACTATATTGTTTGCCATTGGCTTTGAGTGGGCTTCAGTCATTTATAGTACTATTGAGACTTTCATGGACTCCATTCGATTCTGCCTTGGTTGCTGATTCCTGGTTCTAGTTTGCAGCCTGTTTACATAGTTTAATCACCGTATCACTGGATGTCCCAACAAGTAGCAAGAGTTTGCTGTAAGGATTAAAAATTAATATATATAAACACAGTAATCTAATATGCTAATTGAATGCGAAAGCCCTCTGCTTCACTTTTCCTAGATGTGGCATGCTCCTTTGGATTCAGTATCTTTCCCTGAAAGATTCCATCTTTTATGATAGGTCAGCTCACCTATAGATACGCTCATGCTATGACTACTTCCACTTCCCTATAAAACATTCTCCTGAGTTCGTAATGTGGAGTCTGTGGGCAAAGAGAGCTCTGGGGTGTATTTAGCTGGAGGCCTGGGATGGCAAGCATTTCTGGAAGCTGAAACTGTTGTCAGAGTTGAACTGACAGCAGCCTGAATCTTACAATATTATCTCTGGCAGGTGGCTCAAAGATGCCATTTATGCTTGAGAAAGGTGGTAGCAAGTTTGGGCACCTGGGAATGTAAACAGGAATAAGGATCTCAGAATATCTTGAGATAGAGGTAGGCAAGGATGGTGAGATGTGATTTTGGTTGTTTCTTTACCCTCCACATGAAAACAAACACACACCAACTGGTTGTACTCGTTGGAGCTTTAGAAAAATTCCTTTTGGTTCTTTAATTCTTTGATCCTGTTCAGAAGTCAACAACCTTGACAAGGCCAATGTGTTGAGCTGCTAACAAGTCACTCCAGTGTCATTAGAAGGTTTGATAGGGGTGTCTTGGAGAAAGGAAGAGTGGGAGTGCTGAGGAGAGGAAAAAGAGAGCCCGGTGTAAAGTACAGCTCAAGGTGCTGACCTGATGGACTTGAGTGGACCCTGACAGATCTTCAGGGACCCTTAGGGTGTGTTTGATGCTTACTTACATAGTTGAGATTTCCGCATGCCCAGGGAACGTGCCTTTGACATGTCCTTGCAGTGGCCCTAAATTCTGCCTCCTTACAACATGAACCTCTGGTCTGGTCAGACAGTGAGTCAGGCCCCAGCCCAGGCCTCTATTGCTCTTAGTTCCTGCCCTAATCCTCTCCCTTTCCACATCTGCCACTCTCTCAGTCCTTGCCTTCTCTCCCTCTCAGTCCTTGATGCCCCTTCTGTCTGTTTCCACCATAGCCTTTACTCTTTATGTCATGGATAGTCAGCATTTGAGGACATTTGACTTTGCTTTGTAGCATATTTATTGTAGTTTATCTTCTCACGTATGGATATATGTTCTCCCTTACTGAGCATTTGCCAAAGTGTGTCCCGTGAAACCATGTGATCATAAACACAAAATGGACTTACAGTAGATCAGAGAAGGAAATGATTGTTATAATAAATCAGAGAGGAAATTGATAGATTGAAAACCTTTTGTTTGTTAAACCACAGTTTTCTGCAGAACTTTAATTTACAAATGTAGATTCTGACAGTTCCTGTGAAGTGTTTTTCAGTGTTATTTATTTGTGCAAGAACTTTTTTTTCATCTCACTGGGCCAGTATTCTGCAGAACACAATTTTTAGAAAGGTTGTTTTAATTGACTTCAGTTCTAGAAGGGTGGAAACTACATTGCCCTCTACTGTGGGTCTTCATGTGAGTTGAGGACAACAATAAGCAGGTTGCAATAATTTTTGAGTAAACTCTTAGGACAGTTTGTTTGTTTGTTTGGCAGGGTCTCACTATGTAGTTGAGGCTGGTCTCAAACACGAAGTGTGATCCTCCTGCCTTAGCCTCTCCCAAGCTGGGATTACAGGCGTGCGCCACCACACCTGGGTGTTTGATTTTTTTAAAACAACTTTTTATGGTAGTAAAATTCATATGAAGTCCACCATTTTAAAGCACATAATAGTGGCATTTAATATGTTCACAATGTTGTGCAACTGTTACCACCATGTAGTTCCAGAACATTTTCATCATCATCCCTTGGAGGAAACTTTTTACCCATTAAATAGTCACTATTTTTCTCTCTCTGAGCCCATGGCAACCAATGGATTTACCTATTTGGAATATGTTATTTAAATGTACCCATACAGTATATGACCATATGTTTTGGCTTTCTTCAGTAAAATTTTGATAAAGATACAGATAAAGATAAAGGTCAAACCTGGATGATTCCTCTGCTCCTTCAAAGCAGCTCTTTATATCATTGACCAAATGCCCAAAATATATAACTTTAAAAGCAGTCATCTATGTAGAAACTTCTTAAGTCATGTGGCTAGGTGAAAAGTATAGTATACATTAGAAAAGGGTCAGAAGTGTGTGCACCATTGCTATGACTGGAGCTGGGGTTTCAGGAAGCATGCTTGAACCATGCTGGCTTGAATTGGCCTAAAGCCCTTTCCTAGAAGCCAGAGGTGACTGAGCTGTTGACACAATTGGCTTGTCTTCCTCACTCCTCCTCCTTTGAGTCACTAATCTCAGGCTGTTCATCTCTTTAATAATGGTAGAACGTTCTACAGTGGCCCAAGCCCTGGAGGGACATCTCAGAAGGAAGACTATGCCATCCACTGTACTATAGAACTTTCACTGGACCTTTGAGCAAGCAAACTCTTTGAGCATGGGGACTTGTAAAAATTGGATGCTAAGAGCCCCCTTTCTCCTCCCTTCCTTCTCCCTTCCCCCTCCATTTCTTTCCTTTCCCCCTTCTTTTGTCTTGGAATTCCCAGGAGGGTGGGAGTACTTGTCCACTGCAAAGACAGCTGCACCTTTTAGCACCCTGGCCTTATGCAACCCCTTGTACATTGTTCCATGAGATTCAAGTTCCAAGGACCTCTCATCTCTAAGCTGTACCCTTTGCCCTCCCTTACTGTTGTCTCTGGAGTCCAGGCATACTGCTGTCCCAAGGTATATCACTCATCTGCCTAAACACCCATTTTCACTGTGCCTTCTTCTGCCTAAGAATCTGTGATACTGCCTTGGTATCTAAATTCCTTTCTAGCTTGTGTGCCTTTCTCTGCCTTCTCTGTGTGGACTGTGACCCTTTCTACTGTCTTTGATCAAGCCAATCTCATTCTCCTTCCCCCTCCATGTCATCTCTTAGCAACCTTTTCCCAGGCTTGAAATTACTGGCTTGCCTAATCAGTCTCCCCCCTCCCTCAAAGCTGACTTGAGGCTTAGCAGCTGCAGAGTTCTACCAAACATTCTAGTAACCCTTGCTGCTTGTGATAAATTCATGTTGCATTCAGATACAGGAGAAGTGAGATTTTCTGTCTTGGTCTTTCTCCACAGTCAGATGGCAGCTCTCAGAGAAAGAGACCATGAAGTAATCAGGCATCAGACTGTCAGTCCAGGGCCCAGGTCACCTCTGGGTATGCCACTTGCTGCTTGTGTTATCTTGGTAAAGCCACTTATCTTGAACCCCTCTTCTTATCTGTAAAATGAGAGAGGGAGAAAGTAGGTATATTAATTTCTTATTTGCTACTATAACAAGTTACTACAAATATCACTTGTATTCTAACCTAGATGGTCTCATTATAATTGCTACTTAATGTTAAATTTATGGTATTTTGCAGCAATTCAGATTGGCATTATATGGGAGTTACAGTGTTTTTCTCCCCCTACTACCTTTCCACCTTGAATGACCACGGGGCAGCCATAAAATATATTTATATAGTAGCTTAATTGTGTTCTCCTCAGTGCTCTGCTCGTTGTCTTGAAATAGGATTCCTCAAAAGTTGATAAAACTGTTCCTGCTTAAAGTTTTAAGCCTACTTTTGGCTGGAATATGAGAAATGCACAATGTGAATCAAGCAAATATGTACCTGGCCTATTGAAATTATTTTTCCATTTTATCTCCTAGATGCACCCACTGGGCCTATGTAATAACAATGATGAGGAGGACTTGTATGAATATGGCTGGGTAGGAGTGGTGAAGCTGGAACAGCCAGAATTGGACCCAAAACCATGCCTCACTGTCCTGGGCAAGGTAAGCACCCAGCCCTCCAAATTGCTGCCATTCTGGTTGGTGTTTTCCACTCAACCATTTCCCCAGTGTTTCAAATACAGTAACGCCTTGGTTCACAAATGTTTCTGTTTGCAAACAGTTCGGTTCGCAAACAAGCATTCTGGCAAAATTTTACCTTTCTTTGCAAATTCCATATCAAATGAGAAACAGGACCATGGCCAACTTCCCCAAAATCATAAAACAAATTAAATTCGTAAACCAAGGTACCACTGTAGCTGGTTATGGGGAAAAGCCAGTCCAGCCTAGCTCTCCCTCATGGCTGAAGTTGACTCAGACATGTCTTTCAGCAGCTTGTTACATTGTTCATGGGCTCAGGTTCTGAAGGAACCTGCCAGCTTCAGTTGGCCGTCTGCTTGGTGGCCTTGGGCAAGTTGTTTCCTCTCAAGGAGTCTCAGATTCTTGTGTATAAAATGGGTTGATAATAGACTTCCACAGTACTTTATCTTACACCCTTGGGGCCAGATATTTCAGAATTCTGAGATTTGGGGGTCTTAAAGGGTATTATTTTCTCTTTTTCTTTTGTACCGGGGATCGAACTCGGGTCCTTCTGCCTGCGAGCCAGGTGGCAGAACCACTGAGCTAAATCCCCGGCCCCAAGGGTATTATTTTCTATTAAGTAATCTCCAGGGAATCTGGGACAACATTCAATAATCATACACATTCATATTTGTGTAGCAAACCATATGGATATTCACATGAAGTGGGATAGCTAAAATCTAAATAGCTCATGTTAGTTCAGGGCAGCTTTACCTCCAAATGAGTTCAGGTCCATTAAGTTTTCCTGAGAAGTAAGTTATGGAAAAACTTTTGGGTTTTAGAGCTTTTTTGGTTTTAGAATGGTAGACAGCAATTATGATTCTGTTTAGAACTTACCTCATAGGGTAGTTAGGAGATGAGATGCAAATGCCTTATGCTAGAGTAAACCTTCCAAAAAAAATGTGCTGCCATTGGCTGTTGTCACCCCATTTGAAGTACAAAAAAAGACTTTTTAGTCAAGAAGGTCAACATTACTTCTGACTGCAGTATAAGATAGAAATAAATTTACTTTGGAAAACCATCCATCAAGAACCTTAAAATATAACAGGTAACAATCTGTTTTCAAGTAGATCATTTTGCTGAAAGGAAAGGTTCAGAGAAAGTTATTTGAATTTCTGGTTGACAGAAAGGTGGTATCCCCTAAGGGTAATGTTACAGCCTGGACATTTTTTATATTCTCAAAAGCTGAATTTCTAGGTGCTATGGGAAAGACTGCTAGAATGGGGTGGGGGTTTGTCCTAGTTCCTTACATCTTAGGCTCTCTTGGGAGATCAGGTAAGAGAAGAGGTGGTTTTGACTCAGAGAGCCAGAGAGACCCAAAGAAGCCCCCTGCCAGTGTCTCCTGAATAACCTCTGATGCCCGAGACCCTCACATATCTAATTTGTGATTTTTGTGTCCTCTTTGTTTTAAGGGTACTTGTCAAATTTCCTTGCCTTTTTATTGAAGGGGGAAAACCCAGAGGAATTACTGCCTGTTTGGTTTGCAGTTCACGAAGTTGAATCAAGGTGTTTTAGGTGGCTCAGGCTCTGATACTTCATTATTTAAATAGTTGACCAGAGCTGCTTAATGTTGGTAGAAGAGCAGTGACACTCTTGAGAATGTTAATATTTTCCTAGGAAAAATGCCAGCTACATCCAAAGCATAGAAACAGTGCTTTCCTTGTAGGTTTTCTTCTCCTAATAGACTGTTTTCTCCTGTAGTTAAATCGTTTCTATGCAGCACTCAGCTCACTGGCTTCATTTACTTTGTCCCAGTCTGGTAAGGCTCCATCTTTGTGTCTGTTCTATCAATAAATGGGTTGGAACAGTGCTCACAGAGTCACCATATCATTTCCCATAGTTTAGTGGTAGGGCTACTTGTTGGAGTCACTCAGAGAATTCAACTATTTCTTCCTCCTCCTAAGACAACCGTGCAATGGTTTTACTTGGAGAGTTTTGTATGGTTTGGCCTGCTGGCCTGTGAAGGGGGAGAAATGGAAACCTTTGACATAGATTGAATCATTAAGTATTTCTTGGGTTTACTCATTCACCAAATAGTAATTCAGTGCAAAGGCCTAGGAACCAAGTCTGTGGTTCTACTTGCCTGAGAGCAGCAGCCCCATGTTTCGAAAGGCTGGGAGATGGCAAGAGAGCATTTGCATATGGTTAGTTATTGCCATTGGCTTAGAGTTGACACTTAAATCATTAGCAGAAATGCTTTCTTGGGGCCAAAGTAAGACAGTTTCACATTTGCTTAGAAGCTGAGCTGGTGTAGGAGGTGTGATGAGTCAGGCCTGCCCCTGCTCCCACCCTCTCTCTGTCTTTGTCGCTCATCTTCCTAAAATGTGGTTGTTTTCAATTTCATTTTCATTAACTTTGCTAACTATATTTCCTTTTTTTCTGAGCTCCCAAAGGCTAGGGCCTGTAAAGGATGGCAAAGTAATCCTCATGGACAGCTCAGTCTTCTGTAGACTGCATGATTTTCTATTTCTTCATTTTTGGTGGCTATAGGAAGAAGAGATGGATAGCAAAGAGAGGCACAAAAGACATAGAAAGAGGGCTAGGGATGCAGCTCAATGGTAGAGCACTTGCCTAGCATGCACAAGGCCCTAGGCTCAATCCCCTGCAGTGCAAAGAAAAATAAAAGATGAAAGGTTTAGGGAGAAAGTATAGCCAGGCCATTGGGCTGTGGATGGGGGTGGAGGACCCCTGGGTTGTTGTTGAGACTTGTTAAAAACTCTAGAAGGGAGGGCTTCATCAGCCACAGCACACCAGGCATTCAGAAAGTCTAGAACATCAGAGGGCTAGACATACACCCCTTTCTCCCACCCTTGCCACCAACCACCCTTGCCACCCACCTATCCACAGAAAATGCCACAGGCCAAAAACTTGAAATAAGAGAGAAATATCCTAATTTTTTTTTAAAAGCCTCTCTAGGAGTTCAGATAAAGTTTCATTTTAAATGCAAAAGACATAAACTCATCACCTTTTATTACTGAGCGCTTTTGAACTCCTCAGAAAAGAACACTGTAAACTCATGAGAGAAAAATGATTTGTGATCCCCTCTTTCTAATCTTTTTGCTTCTGTGGAGAAGGTACAAACCGTAGGAGCTGCTAGGGAGGCAGAACTGAGATATGGGCAACTCCCCCCAAGCAGCAGGCCAGGGTGCCCAGCCTGCCCTGCCTCCAGCCAGGCCAAGAGCAAGTCTCTTCAGTCTGGGCCTTCTTCAGGCTGGGCCTCTCTTTTTCACTTAATGTGAAGAGGCTGCCCTAGGTCCTTTCCTTGTCTCATATTTTGAGTGTCTGGATCATATTTAAAAATCTTTCCTCGATTTTTTAGTTGAGATTTTAGTTACAGCATTGAAGGATAGGCTTTATTATTTGTGACTTTTTTAAAGTCCTAAGAAATTAAAACAAAATAAAATTGACATTTCTGGGCAGCTTGCATTGAAAAGCAAGGGTCTTAAATCACCCCCAAAGTGCAGAATCTATGTTTATGTCTTAGGTGTGCATTTTAACCCTTCATTTAGTAATAGTTTGTTAAGCATCTTATAGAGCTACAAAGAATTTAGAAGGTTGACTTTAAAAACTTTGGCTCCTAAGACCCATCAACCTTACAGAGAGTCTCATGACCCCAAACACAGAAAATATGCTGGTCTTTCTAGTGGAGCCCACCTGGTCCTGATACTGTAGCTCCAGGCAGAATAAACCCACCTTTATCACCCCAGGTTGGAGCAATTCCTAAGGAGAGTTTTAAAAAACATCATGGTCAACAGGCCTCTTTCTTTTCAGGGCTTACGAGGACAATATGAGGAAGTTAATAAAATGTAAGAAAGGTGGGGAATTACATGTCACAATGACCTTGCCTTGGCTGAGTGACTTTAGGAAGGTGACTTTAGTTATCCATGACCTACTCGTTTGTGACACAGGGCTAATGCTGCCTTTGTCATTGTGGGGGTTCTGGGAGGTATTTGTGGAGCATTTGGCTCAAAGCCTGGCTCACGTCAATGCCTGATGAGAGTGTAAAAGTAGCCATCTTATATTGGGTGCCCACAGTGTGCTGGGAGCTTTATATGCAGGGTCTTTGATTATCAGGATAACTCTAGAGATCCTGTCTCATTCTCATGTTATGGTGAGAAAGTTGACACCCAGAGAGGTTCTCTATATAACCTGAGACAGCTCACAAGAGCTGAGATCTGAAATAAGAACATTCTACCGCTTTACTGATACTGTTTTCTTCCCCTTACCTTATTTTGTCCTGGCCAGTTTTTCTCAAAAATCATATGCTGTTTCAGTGTGTTCACAGGCTTGGTCAGCACTGTTGGGTCCATGTAGTTAGAATCCCAGTCGAGTTCTGCTGACAGAAAGGGAAATTTGCTCTAAGAGTCCTGGGCTGTATCACAGAAGCCTTGTCTGGGTGCTGCTGTTCTAAAGCCAGCTGGCCCCTTCCCCTTCTCTGTGCCTCTGTTTTATCCCTGCTCCCTCTGCCTACTTGTTGGGAGACACAACCCCCAGTATCTCTGGGTTTGACACACTTGGTTTTGAGTCTAAAAGATTTCAGAAAAAGGATTCACTGGCTATTATGGTTTAGATCTAAAATGTCACCCAACAGTCTCATGTATTTGAAAGGTGATTGGTGCATGGAGGTGCTATTCCTCATCAGTAGATTCATCCATTGATTTGTTCAGTAGTTTGTGTTCTGTTAAGAGGTAGGGGCCTGGTCAGAAGAGATGAGTTATTGGAGGCGTGACCTGGAAGGATGTATTCTTGTTCTTGGCTCCTGCCTTTCCTCTTTGATTCCTGGCTGCTATGGTGGGCAGCTTTTTGCACCATGCTCTTCTACCATACCATTTCTGCCTTGGAGCTAGCCAGCTATGCACTGGAAACTCCCAAATTGTGAGCCAACTTAAACCTCTTCTCCTTTAAGTTGTGGTGTCAGGTATTTT